TTGGATCAATGGGCAGAGAGAAATAGGATGCGGTTTAATAAAGATAAATGTAAGGTACTCCACCTGGGAAGGAGGAACCCCCAGCACACCTATAGGTTGGGGAGTGTCCTTCTCAGCAGCTTGGAGGCAGAGAGGGAACTTGGAGTCATAACTGACTCCAAGATGAACATGAGCCGGCAGTGTAATGAGGCCATCAACAAGGCCAATCGCACCTTGTCGTGCATTAGCAGGTGCATGACTAATAGAACAAAGGAGGTGATGCTCCCTCTTTATGCAGCACTGGTCAGGCCGCAGTTAGAGTACTGTGTCCAGTTTTGGGTGCCACACTTCAAGAGAGACGCAGGGACTCTCGAGAGGGTCCAGAGGAGGGCCACTCGCATGATTAGTGGCCTTTGTGATAGACCCTACGGGGGGAGGTTGAGAGAGCTGAATGTCTTCAGCCTTCACAAGAGATGGCTGAGAGGAGATCTTGTGGCTGCCTACAAATTTATTAGGGGAGGTCAACGGGGAATAGGAGAAGCGCTGTTTACTAAGGCGCCCCAGGGAGTGACTAGGAATAACGGGTGTAAACTAGTTGAGAGTGGATTTAGGTTAGATATTAGGAAGAAATTTTTCACAATAAGGGTGGCCAGGATCTGGAATGGGTTTCCAAGAGAGGTGGTGCTATCACCTAGCTTGGAGGTCTTTAAGAGGAGGCTAGATAGTCACCTGGCTGGGGTCATCTGACCTTGGTCCTCTTTCCTGCCAGGGGCAGGGGGTCAGACACGATGATCCGTTGTGGTCCCTTCCAACTCTACAATCTATGAATCTATGTGGGATTAGAAGAAACCTTGTTGTGCATCTTAGTGACTCTAGAAACAGATGTCATCAAATGAGGCAGATCAGCCTTGATAGGATGCATCCCAGGAGAGCTGATCAGCTTCAATGGGCGAAATAAATATTGCCCATTGTCCTGCCCATTGACGCTGCAGAACAGCAGGTGGCGTGTTCCCCCGGAGCTTGAGGGGCTGGTCCTGTACATACCTTCATAGGATCAGGCCCATCAAGCCCTGGGAACACCTGCACAGCTTTCCCAACTTACAGAGATGCACCCCTGGAGCTCCGAGGAGTGTGCCTCTGTAGCAGGGAAACCCAAGATTCACCAGGGCACATCTCTATAAACAAGGAAAGCCAGCCAGGTGCATGGGATAGGGCCCCTCAAGCCCCCAGAGCACCTTCCTGGGGCAGCTGGAGAGTGCAGGCAGCTCCACGCGGCCACCACTCTCATGTTATAAAGAAATCGGACATTCACCACTAAACAAGAGCACAAACTGATACTACCTTTGTCACGGCTGCATTTGTGGCCTGTGTGCTTGAATTTTGTGCCACCATAAAAAATTTTATGGCAGCACAAAGGCAGCAAAAGGCAATGTTTGCTTCCACTCTGAGATAAACTGTGCCCTGAATGGGAGGGATCCTGAGTTCTTACTTCCTACTCCTGCCTTTTGCATTTAATAGTCATTGGATAAAATGACTAGACAGTGGTAAGACAGCCTTTTTCCCCACTGGGGCCCAAGGATTTAGGCCCATGAGTCCTAGGCTGAAACACAGTAAATCAAACTATGACGAATATAAAACTTTTGACCTGTAAGAGCCTATGTGGAAATAAAATATGTCATGAGTTTAAAGCTCAATATCTTTTGTGCCGGGCAAGGAGGTCTGGGTCCTGCAGGGTTTAACAAGTTGACTTAAGTTTATTAGACTTAAAAAATAGTGCTAGTCAAAGTTGAGTTTCTGAACCATGTAAAATTCTGGCATTCTGACACTGGTTTTCATCTTGAATTAGGATAAAATATCACAGTTTTTCATCTTTTCTATGGAATAAAGTTCTATACATTTTTATTTGAAACAGGAGTTCAATATTCCCAAATCAAAACTTCTAGTTTAATGTTGTTGACTCAACTTTTCCATAACCATAGTATTTTAATTCTGGTTACTCATGCCCACACCCTCCCCATTTTCCCAAGTCTACACCTTAGTTTCTCCCTGTGGTTGAACTGCCAGTGCCCAATTATTCATTAACATAGATAGAGGCCTTGGTGACTCATGGGAGATGTTACTGGGAAAGAGAGCAGGGGCAACAGAGACAATAGAAGCATGAGCCACTCTGGAACTACAATTCTCATGAGGAAGTAGCTCAGGGAAAAACATAGATTAATGGAGATCTAAAATAAATAAAAATGAATAAAATATTTATATTTTCCCAATGGGAAAATCTATTCAAGTCTTTCTTCTTGTGCAAAATGTTGATGAAATTCTGTTTTCCAATGGGAAAACACATCATTAATATTTTTTAACCAGTGCTACTAGGGCCATTTTACAACTAGAAACTGTCACTGAAATAGTGGAAGGGATAAGGAAGGATGGAAGAGGAAAAAATTTTTCTTTTGCAGGTTGGTTTGAACGTGCATCCACACACACACTAAGTTTATGGTTGTTAAATACTTACCGACAAACATTCTGAAAACCACTGTAGTTTTTTCCCTCGAGTATTACCACTCAGTTTGTCTACTTCTTGTTTAATATCTCTGGACACCTTACCACAGAGCAAAGGAGGAGCACCTGCTTCCACAGCACGATCTGAGAAATAAAATCATTTGTGCACAGAAGCATTGTTAATGATTGTCTAAATAACAAAGCAAAAATAATAGCAGTATGTATCATTTACCTACCAGTATTTCCAATAATTTCGTCCCAAGATCTATCCGCTAGGATGTTTATTTGGAGAGGATTTATTAGAGGCGTTAAAGACCAAAGTCTCACAGTGGAGTCCCGAGAGCAAGATGCCATGGTGAATGGACGGCTTGGATGACAAGTTAATCCTAATGGAGAAACAGTTTTAAAAAGTATTCAGATAATTATATAGAAATCAGTACTTTTGAGATAGATAGATAGATAGATGTACATACATACATGCACATGCACACACACACGAGAGATCTCTCTCTCTCTCAAAACTACTGATCCCCATTTAAGGAACAAGGCATATATGCATTTTAACAAAATAAGAAAATGAAAACCATAGCATTTGAACAATATTACCATATACATCTGCCCCATGATCATAAACGGTGTCCAAACAGGTTCCATCTCTTGTGTCCCACACACGAATTGTATAGTCCCAGCTGCCTGATATTAGCAGATAAGGGATTTCAGTATTCCACATCAGTCCCCGTACGGGTGCTGTATGTCCACTAAGAACATTTATACAAGCATCTTGTGTATAATCCCATATTCGAACGGTACTGCAAATAAGACACAGGAAGCCTGTATCATCAACAAAGTCAACATGAATAAACCATAAATATACCACTACAGTCAACAGTGTTGAAATATTACATATTTACATATTTAGATTTACACAAGATGTGTTACAAAAGTTCCTTTTTGATGCCCTGAGCTCTTTTTAGTTTCTTAAAAATGCCCTGAAATAAAAGACGTATTGACTCCTCTAGACTAGGGGTTCTTAAACTGTGGTACATGTAACCCTGGGGGTATGCGCAACATCTCTGGGGGGTACATTGGAGAAATTGTGTAACAATTTAATTTTTATTATCATAATGGGCATTTAAGGGATTAAAATATAAAATGTATGCTGGTAGGGATATGTGGGGAGCTGGTAAATCTGGAAGGAGGTACACAATAAGAACAAGTTTGGTAACTTCTGCTTTAGGTCAACTCAAATACACATAAATAATGGAAATTCATTCATTCCCTACTTAATCCCCAGAGAGCCGCATTTGCTCCTACTTTGCAACCTAGTAGTACAGTGACATAGCTGGATGCCTGGCAGAGGGGCAACAGTGACTTTCAGCTGCTGCTGCACTTCCAGCAGAAGCCATTTTTTCACATGCCACCCCTTAAGTTGATACTGCGGGCAGATCGCCTTGCCACTGCTGCAACCATTTCCTGACAAGCCAGGAGGATAAGCTAGGCTTGTGGCATATCTTGAGGCTAACATCTTAGGCTGTTATGGACCCAAAGAGAAACCAAGTACTGAAGCCCTTGGGCCCTGATGGAAAATATACCGCAGCAATTTCTTCTCTCTCATACAAAAGGGACTGCAACTTACCTCTACTCTTTACAAGTAATGTGGTAGACCAGATGATAGAAATTCATACATAAGCTTGAAGCCATTCAAGATTTTTATTAAAATTAAGATATCTGAGCAATTCAGAAAACAATAGGCAGCATCTGATTAAACATACAGGACAGGCACTTGTATTTTATGGCCTCATAGTTAGCAATACCATCTTTTCTTATCATTGTAAAATGGAAATTCTAATGCATGTTTATATTCTTGTGTTTATATCCACAGTATTTCTCTCACTGTTGAATTATAGTTTTCCAGAGCTAACTTATGAGAAGCATAACAATATTCTTTTGAGAGAGCTGTCTTCCAAACAGAAATTCAATGGACGGTCTTGTCACCCAGGTCTGCAGTGCTCCCTCTGGCTTCTATCCACAATAGCCACTGTATTTCCTTTATTGCTTTGTTTCTCTGTCCTCCCTTGACAGCTTCTGCATTGTACTCTGGAAGCATGGGACTCCTCAAACAGATATGGGAGTTAAGGCACAGGATTAAGCCAGACTGCACAGTTCCATCAAGGTTATATTGTATGGACAGTTTTGGACCAGGATTTGAACCGTGAACATTGTTTATAAATGCTAAGATAGCAGCAATATTTAAAATTATTAGCAGGAGTACAACTTGAGACCTTAAGTTTTTCCTGGAGTCAAGGATACACACCCATCATCAGAGCCACTGCAGAGGATTCCTTCTCTTAAAGGAGACCACCGTACATGAAACACTTTTGCAGTATGCCCACTAAAAACCTTTAGTGGTTGATCAGAGCTGGTTGCTAGGTAATAAACACGAACATTTTTATCTTCACAGCCAGTAGCTATCATATCTCTGCAGAACAACAACAGTATAGTCATCAGGCACTGGGAGTCACTGGGAATGTTTTTAATTCTATAAAATGCAAACAATTACACAAATTTTAATGTATACCCAGAAAATGTGGCTTGGGTTTACAGTGGATTTTTTCTGTTATTTTTGTCTGTGCTATTTATTAAAAGCTTAGTTGCTACATTGACAGAACAGATTTCAGTGTTAATAGCCTGTATGTGTTGTGCTCAGTGTTACAAAACCATACATATTACAAAATTTAAAAATAAATAAATGAACGTAATATTTGACTGCAGCTGAATTTAAAGTCAAACAGTGAATAAAAGAAGTGATAAAAGTCACTTATCTGTCACTTGTGTTTTTTTGGTTTTGGTTTGGTTTTTTTTGATCAGCCTTTTCTGGAAAAATTCTTCAGCTGTGAGCAGTTCTCCCATTATCTTCAAACAAACTCATTTGGCTTACCAGATGCTGAACCCCTGTACTTTGCCACTCACATGTAGCAAGTATGACTCAGCCTCACTTTTGGATGACTCAGCCCTACTTCTAGATGCCAAACTCTCCTGTAATTTTCTCTCCCACAACATGCACTCAGACTCATCTCTTGATATTAGTAAATTCTACATTGAAATCTAGTCAATTTTACATGTGGTACTTTGTTAGTGGTGCACTATGATCATTACTCATTCTCTAAGTCTCAAGCATCCACTACTTGCCACTGCTGGAGATGGGACAGTGGGTTAGATGAACCTTTGGTATGACCCAGCATGGCAATTCTTATGTTCTTAAGAGAAAATACAAAATAGAAAAATATACGCTTTTCTATGATGTGTGTTGAAATTTCAGTCTGATCCCAAAAGAAAAGACAACATTTAAATTTAGTTTCCTATGGAGATGTTTTGGCAATTAATCATTTCTGAAAATAATTGCTGCTCCTTTTCAAGTTGTTTAGCACTTTTCCCTTGGAAAAGTATTTCCTGTAAAATCTTAAGGCTATATTTTAAAAGACTTATTACTTATGCTATAATCTATAGAGATAAAATAAGTAAATCTACCTGACAGTATTCATGTTCGTCTTATCTGGGCAATTTTTGATTCTTCTAGAGCACTGACTGCAGAAATTGAGAAATCTATCCCTGAGACTGCAATCACCTTTGAAACCCATATTCCTGAATTTACTTCTGTGTAGAAGGTGAAGTGTGACTTGACTCATCTATAAGGAGGAGAGGAAATTACGTGCTAGTGGCACATGAAGGGACCAGAAAGCAGCAGACACTCCTGCTTCTTTATAGACCTAGTGGGCCCCTCTCAGAAGAAGCCACAAGGAACTAGAGAGAGAGGCAGCAGCCATACTGTGTGGAAGGAGGGTCAACCTTCTTCCTATTCATCACCTTCAATTTGATACAATGATCAGTTTTCCAAATAGAATTTAATTTTTAAGTGCTTAGGAAAGACATTAGAGATTTCTTGTTTTTAATCTCCCTATAGCCAATTTTTAGCATTCCAGAATTTACATTTAAAAAAAAAAATCACTCTTTTTTGCTATTATCTTTTTTTTTAATTATTATTATTATTTTTTTTTTAACTAATAATTGAGTTTTGGTACAATTTCTGATAGATATTTTAATATTAGTATTGGTAAAGTTAGTAGAATTAATGTTAATGTTTTAATTCAAATTAATGTTTTTGCTAGTCAGCACTTCTGACCTATCGCCTCTATCACTTCACTTTAGCAATACTGAACCTTCCATATATTATCTTCTCTTTGATTAAATCAAATGTGAACTCTCTTTCACATGTGTTCAATTATTTTACAGAACTTAAACTTCCTTAATGGGAAGTAAATGTTTTGTTCTGAAGTATGGGAATTAAATATTAATGCAATTTCACTGTTAACTCATAAACAATGTTGTGTTTGCTCATAAACGAGGTTTTATTTTAAGAGGAAACATTAAGTACACTTTTTAAAAGAATTATCTTTTTCAGATACAAGAATAAATTCAGCCTCAGTGCTAGACTATACCATAGGTCATCACAGGGTGCATTTATACATTGCCATATGACGACATTGTCACGGCACCATGCTTAAGTACTTACTTTTGGAAGTACTAAAGCAGAGTGCAGTAACTGCCTGTACTGTGCCATGCGCACAGTGCATGGTTAGATTTTGTTGCGTTATTGCCAAAGTGGCCTGCTATAACGGGGCAGCGCATCATTATGGCAACGTAGCTGCCGATCATGTGTAGACCCACATAATCACTATGTCACCATAGTGTGCTGTACAGCGACATAGTGAGTCCCTATGTTGCTGCAGGGCGATGTGTAGATATGCCCACAGAGTACTATCAATGTAATAAATGACCCCACGTAGAGATAGGTAGTTAATGTTAGCTTGGACAGAAGGCAGGACAGGACACCTTACAGACTAACAGAGGGGTGTCAACTCACCTTGCAGATCCAGCCTGGGGTATGTGGCAGTGACAGCTCTGGCTCCAACTCAGGGCATGAGGCATAGCTTCAGCTCCCTCTTTGTGCCCAATGCTGGAGCTGAAGCTGATGCTGCAGTGTGCCCTGTGCCCTGGCAGCTCTAGCTCCAGCATGGAGCATACAGTGGCAGTGGTAGTGGCAGCTCCAGCATGGGACAGCAATAGAGCCAAAACTGGAGGTGCAGCAGTAGTGATGGGTGAGGTAGCCTAAGGATGGCCATGGCTTTCTCAGTCCTTGGTTACCTTCCTGCCACCAATCACTGTGTCTACCAGGCCTAAGAGCCCCAGATTCTGTGGCACACCATAGCCTACAACCATGACCCCCAAATTCCAATGGCCTGCTGGTAGCTCAGCAATTTGGACCGAGCAGCTGTGCAAGCCAGATCCAGCCTGTGGGCCATATGTTTGACATCCCTGAACTAACTTCGTCAGAGAGGCAGGTGCTTTCGTAGGCTAAAGCCTACTTTGTCAGATGCTATAAATGGATTTGCAGAGAGCGGGGGTACTAAACAGAAAGAAATAAAGTCAAAATATAAAAGACAGGGTAAAGGGGAGGAAAAGAGGAAGCACTTCTGAAAGAGGTAAAGAAGGTAGGTTGAAGAAATCTAAAAAGATAAAGCAGTTAAACCACTGAAGGACATAAGGTTTATAAAGATCAGTCCAGGTAACAGAATATGAATCCAGAGTCTCTGTTGAGACCACACTTATCACAATTCATGTTCAGGTCAATTTTTAAAGTGTTACTGTTTAAGAACAGGTTCTCGGAGACCAGTGCAGAAACATCTGGGGAGGTTAAAATGTTCTGTCAAAGGCTTCTTTTTCTTTCTTTCTGACAGTGATGTCAGATCAATACCCATTCATTCTTTCACAGTGGACAGATGGGGGGAGGTTAGTCCTATGTGGACAGCAGAGGGGCACGTGACATTGTGGAACAAGAAATCATCCACCGACTGGACTGCATTACGGACAGTCTCAACAGCAATTCTGGATTCTTATCCTATTGCCTGGGCTACTTGCTATAATCCTTATGTCCCTTACCTTCTCCTCTCTCAGCAATGCCCCTCCCCTATCCTTTCCTTTCCTTTCCTTTCCCCTGTCCTTTCTTTTAGTACCCCTATTCTCTGCAAGTCCAGTCGTACCACCTGACGAAGTAGACTGTGGTCTACAAAAGCTTATGCCTCTCTAAACAAGATTTTTAAGGTGCCACCCTTCCCTGCCATATAACCACAGGGTCACCGGGGGTTTCTCACAGCACTGAGGATTCTCCTGTTCTGAAAGCCATGTCACAGGCTTTTGTCAAACTTCACCTAAAAACAAAGTGTAGGTTTATTCCAAAAAAACAATCCTTAAGAATGGAATTGCGCAAGTCTGTATTTATTGTCATGCTGAATTTAAAGTGATATTTTCTCAGTTTTTAAGTAAAAAGAATTGAAGTTCCCAGATCTACAGATTCACCCTGGAACCCAAGTGTCAAGCTGAGGTCTTCTTATGCATCATCATCATGCAATACAAGATCTTTAGACCAAATCCTGTTTGTAATAAATTATACATGTACCAACCCACTACCTTCTATGAAGGCAGAATGTGGCCAGCAGATTTTGTATCTACTGGCACATAATAAGAAAAAAGGATCTAAACTGGCCCATTTAGACCCAAGATTGACATTGAAAAGTATTTTTCAGTCACTGATTTTAATGAGGAATTGTACCTCAAGTATGACAGAACAGCTTGTATTAAAAAGCAATATTTTTACAATAAGGAGTAGTAAACTGGTCTTTTATAGTATGTTCTCAGGAGTATCTGACTTCATAAAAACTGTATCAATGCAGTGACACTATTTTTTTTTTTTTAGATAGCCACTTTTGGCTTAGTTCTCTTTTTGGTTATTCATTTAAATTTTAGATATAATTAATCCATGAAATTTAAATTTTACTCACTTATTGTTTTGACTCCAATCACAGCCAAAAACTGCAGCTGGATGTTTGTACTTGTGAAGAACTCTGCCATCAATGGTTCGAATAATACTGAAATCAATTACAACACAGTAATAGGAGAAAAAATTAGCAGTCTGAGTAGGATTTTCCAGAGGTCAAAATCTGATTTTACATGTGCCTGGTCATCAACATAAGAAGTCAGATTGCGAAGGTACATCATGAAGGAGAAACATAAGAAGGCTTCCTATTGCTGCAGCCTCATAGTTAAAGGACTGACTATAACTATAGCCCCTCTGTTTCTCCAAATCCTTAGAGTTCATACTCTTAGAAATGTTAGATTTTCCCTGGGGAGATTTCAAAAAGTGGACTTATGCCTCTCAAGGTTTCCACACTGCCCTTACTCAAGGATAATTTTGCTCATGGCAGGAACTTAAAGGTACAAACTGGGCTTCTGGGTTTTAGAACAATGAATTTTGATTTATATATAGCAAAATGTTCTTTAAAAGTTATACCTTTTTGTTAGGGTTGAGGGTGGATAGATAGGAAAAGACAAGTACAAACTAATACATTTTGAAATGTCCTGATATATAAACTATTAAAATATTTAGTACTGAACTTCACTTTTCCAGATTTTGAAAACAGTCAGACTAGAACATGATAATCTTTGTTGTAGCAGTAAGAATTCAAATACTGCCTTTACTGCCTAACCATTATGTTAACATTTCCACTACCTTAGTCCATTAATTAAATCTACTATTTTTAATAATGAAAGATACGAGTTCTTAACAAATAAAGATATGAGTATTGTCTATCTCTTCAATATCTCTCTCTCTTCTTACAGGTAGGAGAATTGGGAAAAATAAATGTGCCTTGGATAATGAAGTTGAGCCTCCAATTTAAAAGTTAAATGGACTTGGGCTCCTCCTTTTTGACATACATTTATTTAACTGTCCTTTCAAGAGATGAAACAGCCATGCCACCATCAATATGTTAGGTGGATGGCTTCTAAAACCAGTGGACCACTGTTAGCCTTCAACATTTCTCAGGCCATCACATTGGCTGATCTTCAAACTTTTGAGGTTATTCAGGGGGAAGCTGGTGTGACCTGCTGACCATTTACCATGGCATCTCAGATCACAGTTTGGGAACTGCATTAGGAAAATGCTTCCACTTTAACTGCACATGCTCATACTCCCTTGTTAAATCTGTTTGGTTTGGTCTCTGAGGGTGGAAAAAGATATCACCTTTGTGCTACCATAATTTTTTTTTATGGCAGCACAAAATGAAAACAGACAGATGTCCCTAGCTTCTGCCACAACATGAATGCTCAAATTTATGGCAAAAACAGAAAGCAGTGATAAACTGAGCTGCTTTATTGTGGCTGACACTTGTTTATTTATGACAGGGGAGAGTGGGCAGCCCAAAGTTGCCCATGCTCTCCAGTCATCAGGGGCAGGGGCTCCACAGGCTTGAGGTGCCCAGTCCTGCACACCCCAGGAATTCTTGGGAAGAATCTGGCCCCTCAAACCTTGGAAGTGTCTGCCTTACTTTCCCTGTTTACCTAGATGCATCCCCAGGGTCCTCAGGGCACATCTAGGTAAGAGAGGAAGTTCAGGGCTTCACCCTGACATGTGGCACATGCCTGCAAGTGGGAGTTTCCCCAATTAGAGACACGCACCCATGTCAGACCACGGCAGTAAAACGTGATGGGGGATTCCTTCTCCAAGGGATTTCCCCAGTGCACATCTGCAAATGGAGAGCGAAAACTCCAACAGTGGGTCCTGTTCTCTGCAGGATTACCCCACTATGCATATGTACAGCCCAACAAGGGAGGCATATTTGCAAGCTGGGAGAGGAGAGCTCCCATAGGGGAGACCTCTTGCTTGCAGACCTATGCAGTGGGGAAATCTCCTGCAGGGGTAGACTGGGATCATGATCCCAGAGTCCCTCTCACCAGGGAAGTTGCTCAACAATCAGCTGATTGTCAGCTGACTTTAGGGACCTACTGAGCCGGTTCAAGCGCTCCTGAAGCTGTCTGATGACCATCTGATTGTTGGATCATTGGGACAGCATTGGAGCTTGAACTGGTTGCAGTACTGTCATTCCCAGTCAAAAATCAGCTGATCATCAGCACCATCAAACCCCAGGTTGTTCTGGAGTCAGCCAATGATCAGCAGCTCACAGGGAATGCAAAGGTGCCCATTCAAGCCCTGGAATGGTTCACCCTGGCACACATTCATTTTAAGGCGAGATGGAATCCAACTACAAAATTATTTCACAAAAAAACGTAACAATGTGTAATAATTTTGTGGCTGATTTCACTTTCTGTTGTGCCATTAATTGCCTGAAGATGTGGCCAGGTTATACTTTAAGATGTTTTGAACTGGTTAATCACACCTTAAGCATAACATCTGCCAGGGCCCTTGGAAATGCCACAGAAAGAGTATGTCCTATAGGACATATTTTTTGTCTCTCCACAACTAGAACATTACACCAGAATTCCATACCAGCTCCTGCCTATCTGTAATTCAGGCAATAACACACATATTCCTAACATAAACAAACAATACTGCACTTTTCTTAGAAAATGGCATAATGACTGCAAATACTACTACAGTGCTACAGGGCTTTACAGTAATACACATAAACCAAAACACATACAATGGTTATTTATATCAGTAGCTTAAATATGGATTTATGGTGCTATCAAAGTTTACTTGCTCAAGAGATGGACTATTTTCAACATGGCACTTACCAATATCCATCACCACTGCAGGTCGCTATTCTTTTGGAATCTTTATGACTCCAGGCAATGCAGAAGATTCCATTCTTTCCATGCTTCAAAAAATGCAAAATACCTATCAATAAGAAATAATTCACCCCTTTTTCTCTTATCTACTGACTTCTCTGTGGTACTTTGTTTTCCTAGTAGAATTTCTCTTTTGCTCCAAGTGCAGTGAACATTGTATTTTTTCCTACTAAGAAGCCTTCAATTTAGCCAAACTGACCATGAAGGAGGCATGGCAAGAGTGCTACTTCAAAACAGTATTCCCTACCTGCTCTGCTTTTATAATGAAGACACAGCTGGTACCTGGGTTCAGGGAGCCACAACTGAGCACAGCTGAAGAATTAACATTTAGGCCAAACCCATTTTCACTTTTTTTTGCACATCTACAGCTTTTTTCGGCATTTCCACACAGCCTGAGATTGCATGCAGCTCTGTGCATGGTAATTTATATGTACTCTGGAGCATGCTCAGTAGGCCTGAGTTCCATTCAGGCAGCTGCCTGGTGAAACGGTATTGCCCAGGTACGTGCATAAAGCTGGATACGTCTTATGCAAAAGACCTAGGGCAAAACAAAATGCTAAAATGTGAACAAGTGCCAAAAACCAGTTACATAGATGAATATGTGCCATTTAGGTGTGTATAAGATTGAGTCCTTTGTGTTTACATAAACTTGCAACTTCCATTAGGGCTATCATAAATCTACCTTGGACAATGCCAAGAAAGTTAGTGGGCTGAGAAAAGCATTTAGAAAAACTGGTGGAATGTGCATCTGGCTGATAACTTACTGTAATTTACAGATTTGTAATGCAGGCATTACTTTTTGGTGAACTGGATCCTGGTTGCCTGAGTAGAAGCTATGACCAGGATGCTTCTTTTTCCATCCATGTCTGCTGAGATCCCACCCTTTTGTTTCTGATGCAGTTTGTTACAATTAACCATGTTTTTGTCACCTCAAGATTAGATTACTGTAGTGTGTCCTACCCAAGTCTACTCAGGGCCAAACTGACATCACTTGGAAATTGAAGTTAACGCACAGTGCTGCATCTAGTTTATTAAACTTGACTTTATGACAGGAACACAAAACACCAGTGTTTCAGGATTTTCACTGGCTTCTGTGAAGTTTCTTGGTAATGCAAATGCAGAATATAAAATGGGTATATGTACATATTCTGAATGCCTGACTTAACACAGCACTACCAATACTGCATTGCTGATATAGATTCCAACATCAGAACTGAAAATTGAGCCTGCACCTTGTGTTTGAGAGTAGACAGCTGCAACACCATCTTAAATTTTTATATTCAAATTTTGAGGTTATGCCATGTGCATGCACATGTCTGAAATGGAAGAATCTGTTATACTTCTGAAACCTCTCTAAGTCAATTAATGACATTTCAGAGCCCATCTGGTACTTCATCCTCCTCCTGCCAAAGCAGTTTGAGAAATGAAGAATACCTGCTCTAGAGGTAAGAGATAAGAATACAATATGCTTAATGTAAATTTAGTTTATATACCTCCTTAATAAATGCAAATACTGAACCATATGTATCTATACTATCACTAGAGGGAGCCAATAACTTATATTTAAAAGACCAAACCAAAACTTTCTTACCTCACTGAACCGGGTTATCATTTTCCCTTTTGGAACATCCCAGATAAAACCACCATTTCTGGATGTCGCGCCAGCTATGCAATTCAAATCCCCTTTAAGAACAGACATTTATGAGATATCATACTGCAATGTCACAGAGGCATTTTAAAGTGTCATATTAAATTCTTGTATTAAAATGTAAAAGAATATATAGCCATGTGACAACAAGGGCAAATTAAGAGTGAATCTTCACAGGCTAAACCCAGCATTTGGCACCCAGTGAAAAGCAGCAGTTCTAGGAAAAGCCTCGTTCTCTGTCCTCCCTTCCGATTCTGGGAACACTGTGTGAGGTAGACACTGACTATTTGCATACATGTTCACAAATCCCTTCCCAAGTACCTACTACTGAATGCAACAAAAGGACTAGATGTTGCATAGGATAACAGTTCACTGTGCTTTTAGCTTTCTATAAATGGTCACAAAATCTGATAATTAGAGATTAAAACATTTTCTTTTAAAGTTGCCTGCACAACAAGACACAGCAGGATGAGCACTAACTCTTGCAGCTGGACACAGGGAGGACAGATGTAATGACAATGGGGTAGTAACTTTTTTAAAGCTGGGTCCCTGAAGTGTGCCTATCAGTGATCCTCCCCCGCCACTCCAGGAGTCTGTGAAAACCCTGGGGTGGGAGGATCACTGCAGGGGGGATCCTTCTGTCCCAGGGGCGCATGAGGTGCCTTCGCAGCTGGGAGCCCCTTAACTGGAGTATATGGGGCTCCCAGCCACAGGAGCTTGCTTCTTGCCAGCGCAGGGGGAGTTTGAGATGCCAGCAATAAGGCACGATGGGATCTAACGTGTAATCCCGTAATCATGCTTCCTGCCATGCACATGTGGCATGACAGGAGGCACAATTGTGCAAAACACGCATTAGAACTCATCACGCCTTTACCTAGACGTGTAGAGGGGGCCTATGAGGTGGAGCACAGAGATGCCGTCAGGGGTGGGAGATGTAAGCAGATGTTGTCAAGAATAGGCAAAGCTTAAGTGGTAGGGAATAAAGCTTAAGAATAAAGAATAGGCAAAGTTTAGGTGCTAGGGGATTTGGTAGACAATCTTCCAATTAATTTTAGTGAACTCTTGCCTGATACTCAATATCGAAATTACAAAAGATCAAAAACATATGATCTCCCCCCTGCCCCATGAGCTCAATTTGAATGACACTCCAACATAATGAATCCTAACTTTAAAAGAACCCAGAAAGAATCCATAATGGGAAGCTCCCATATGTATATGGTCAGAATTTTCAGGCAGCAAGGTGATTAGCAAGAGGAGTAAGCAACATGCATAAATATTAACAAAGGGATAACAGGAAGAGAGAGTGTGTTAATTCATTTCCCTTATGTAATTGTTGATAAAGACAGCTAAATACTAAATGCTCCTTAATAGAAGCCCTGAAGGACAAGTCTAAAAGTGATTGTGCCAGTTTCCAACAGATGAAAAAGATTAATTTAAATTATAGAAAGCTGGAAAGAAGACAGTATTAAAAGAGGAACTGTAGGAACTGCTAGCCACAGGGAGAAATAAAAATAATAGATGTTTTTGGCAGATTCTAGTCAAAGGGACAAAACAGTTTAGCTTAATCCCCAATGCACAAATTCCTGGAGAAATGCATGTTTCATTCTTTAAAATAAAATTTAACAACTCTCATGCACCTGGTGAGGGAAGTGAGACTATTTGCTGAAGGAAATTTTGTCAGTTAAATGTGTCTCAATCTCACAGTCCCAAGACATAGTAGTCCCAATCTTTTAAAATGGTGATAAGACTAATGAAATGGTATGTTGCAAGATCTCTTATGTGTATTCCAGCCAAAATATTTGGGAGACTCTCTCATCTATATACACAGAAAATTCTGGGAGAAGAGCAGGCCAGTTTCAGAGAAAGCTATTCTTGCATGCACCACTGCTTAGTGTTGTATTATTTGGCATCAAAATATATGAAATATACACAATCATGTATATTTAGCCTTCATAGATCTCAAGAGAGTTTTTGACTCCATAGACTAGGGGTGGGAAAACTATGGCCCGTGGGCCAGAGCCAATTGATTGTATCTGGCCTGTGGCTCCCCTGCGGCATTCTGCATGATGCCGCACTCCCACCCACCGATGGCACCACCCTGACCCCTGCCCCAGCCAGCATGATCAACTTCCTGGCAGGGTTGCTCTGGCTGCTGCTGCAGCTGCCCGGGTACAGCTCATCTCCCCCTACCTCCAGCTGCTTCTCCTCCTCCTGCCAGTGCTGCACCACTCCAAGCAGCAGGTAGCAGAGGGAAGCAGTAGTGGCTGTGGGGACATGTACCAGGCACCACATACCCAGCCAGATTGCAGGGAAAGCTGCAGCCGGGCAGCTCCTGCACCAGCACACGGGGCCCTGGCTCCAGCTCCAGATGCCAGCCGCCTTCCATCTACTCCACCCACCTGACAGGATGAGCAGGCACTTGTAGGTGGCCAAGTGGGTGGAAGGCGGCCGAAGAGGTGCAGCAGGGGCAGCAGAAGAAAAAGGAAGAGTTAAGAGCTGCTGGAGGAGGGAGGAGCCAAGCAGTACTCAGGCAGCAACGGGAGCAACCCTGCCAGGAAGCTGTGCACACTGGCTAAAGCCAGGGCCAGGGCAGGGCTGTTGGCAGGCGCAGGGTAGGCTGCCCCAGGAGGGAGTGGGTAGGTCTCAGTCCCATGTGAAGCACCATGTGGACAGCAGCAGGCTGGATGTGGGGGAAAGGCAGAAATCACATCTGTACCACACCACCGAGGAGAGCTCTGCTGCATACGGCTCCTGCCCACCTTTCTCCTCCCACCCACCCACCTGTGGCTGCTTCCCAGGATCTAACGTGTAGGCAGCCCCAGCACATACCTACCCCCCCACACCACTCTACACCCCTGCCATATATACAATAAGACTTTATTTGGAGCTATTATGCAATTATTTCTATATACACTACTCAAAAAAACATGTTACAGTAGATGCTTGATTTTTTAGCTGAGAATATTTTTTATCTATAATTTGTTAAAGTGGCATCTTTTGAAAATTTGTGTGTGTGAGGCCCTCGACAGCTCACCAAGACTCATTAAGTGGCCAGCTGGCTGAAATAATTGCCCAGCCGTCCTATAGACTGGTTAAAATACTGGAAGAAACTGGTGTAGCAAAACCCCCAGTTTTACACACACACACACACACACACACACACTCTCTCTCTCTCTCTCTCTCTCTCTCTCTCTCTCTCTTCCCTTCCCCAATTATTTCTGGCTTTTCTTTCTCTCCCTCTCTATTCCCTACAGACAAGCATAAGCGAGCTCAGACTTAGGATTAGCTTTAACATTTGTATTTTGGTAGCAAGTTTTTGGTTTTGGATATCCACTGTTTTATATTGTATTATTATTAGGTTTGTATTGATTTTTACTGTTGTATATTGTATTATTATCATTTTCATATTGATTTTTATTGTTTCATATGGATATTGTATGGTTTAGGCCTGTGTTTGTAAGTGAGCCAAAGTAATGTCAAGTTTCCATTTTGTATGTCAAGTCTCCATCTTGTGTCCTCTGCCCGGGCATCCCCTGTGTTGCAACTGGATAAGTCACGTACCCCTCCCATGTAAATTGGTTCCCGGATAAATAAGAGTGATTGGGAATGACTGAAATACAATGGTAGCAGGCCTCTACTGAATGGCCTGTAACAACTGGGCCATCACCTCGCATTGATTCATCCAGGAACCACAGACCTCACCCAGGAACAGAGACAAGACCAGCATTTGAAAGACAAAAGACTCTGCAGAACCAGCAACTCTACCATGGTACCCCACCATTACAGACACCCAAAACTGCACATCCCTACATAGAGCACACATGCTCAGTACACCAAGGGCTGACCCTTGCCTGGGCATGCCTCCTGTCACTGGGGTAACACCCCCCACCCCCTCTTCAACCAAGGACTTGGACTCTGCTTCTCTTCCCTACCTGGACTCCAGCCCTTCCACTGAGTCTCTTTCTCCGTGCGCGCATACGTGTGTGCGCACCAGTAACTCCTGCTTCTGGCTCACTGCCACCTTCAACACCTGTCCTGAGCTCCTCTCTACCTCCAAACCCCGTTTCTTTGCCACTGTCTTATCCCCACTGCCTTTTCCCCTGAGCAACCAGGTTTCTGCCTCAGTTTCTTTCCTGGCTGTCTCCTCCTTGCCACCACTTATCTGCCCCCAATATCTCAGCTGTCTGCCTCAGTTTCCAGCCCCAGTCTACCCTAAGTAAACCCAAGCCTCAGTTTCTCAGCCAGTTTCTCTCTAGTCCACTGGTTCTAATCCCGGTTCTGGCAACTTTTACTCCCTACACTTTAACTCTCTCTCTCACCTGAACCTTCCCCCAAGTATCCCAGGTACCCCAAGCACACACATACACACTGTACCATCCAACTTAGGAACTTACTTGTGTGTATGTGTAGGTGGGGTGTGTGTGTGGGGGGGCATTGTGTGCATGATATACAAATTAGTGATCTATGTCTAACTTTTGGGGTGTATGGTGTATGTGCTTGAATTGGTGATAGGTATGCATGAGCCTAGGTTGCTTTGGATGTGTATGTGCCTGAGCTGGTAGTGTGTGTGTGTGTGTGTGTGTATGCACCTAATTGATTTGTGTGTTTGTATATGTGCAATTGTGTCACACCCTCCTGTCTAACAGTGCAATATTGAGATCCTGAGAGTTGGCCTAATCCCACAGGGCTACACTGGTAGTAACATCAATTAACAAAGCTCTTGTACAATTAATCATTGCTTGCTATTCAAATACAGCATCTAGGGTGAGTTATGAGGTTCGTGGTGCCCTGTCCAGGAGTTTTCCAATGAAGACAGGAGAATGGCAAGGATGTTTGCTTGTTCTCTACTTTTCAATCTATTCCTGAATAATCTAAAACATGTGCCAACAGGAAATCAGTTCCATGCACCCACAACACTGAATGATTCTATCCCCGTCTTGTTTTATACAAATGACGCACCATTAATGTCAAAAGCCTAGGTATGTCTCCAAAGGTTATTCTATGCTTTTCAAAAGTATTGTCTCTGAAATGGCTTGGAAATCAACACTGTTAAACCCAAGGTATTAGTTTTTGGGAACAAAAGGAAGGAACAACTATGGTTTTCACAGAAAAATAAATTAGAGGTGGTGTCCTCATTTAAATACCACAAGATTTAATAAAAGACTAAGCTGGAATAAACACATTGAAAATGTAAGTATTAAAGTATGGTAGTGCTGCCAGTCCCACCCTTCTAAAGGTCTACAGATTTACGGCAGAGTTCATTTTATCGTATGGAGCGGCCCTATGGAGCACTGACCCCATGGTTCATTCCAAAATATAAAAAAAATTCTAACTACTTTTTAATACAGCTTTTATCTCTACTAAACTCTACAATGGGATGGCTTATGCCAGGGGTACTTGAGAAGGCTCTAGGGGGTATGCACGGGTGGGTGGGCACAGATGCCGCCATGTACCATCCCACGCAGGCGCAGCCCACCCAGCTGGAACGGGGGGGTGTTGCGCGGAGAATACTCCTTGTTTGGCTGTGCGCCACACCCCACCCGCCACTCCACATCTGACCACCAGGGATATACTGATCCAAAAAGGTTGAAAACCCCTGGTTTACGCTATCTGAAATGGGCTGCTTAATTTGAGTACTTTAGCTTACTTAAGAACTCTAAATTACTGGATAGATATTAGAGCTTATATCTCCATCCATGTATATATCTTATTTAGTCTATAAAAGTGCACATCTACCCTACCTTTTGACTGACTACTGACTAAAACAGCTAACTATCTCTCCTTAGTACCTCTAGTGGACAAAACTTCAGCTTATTTCAGTGGCTGTTTTACCTATATAAGAAGTACTGAAATGACCCTTTAGTAAAATCTTTAAACTGCCAAGTTGTAATAGCTATGTCTGCTCTTGGGAAGTCTGACATGGGCTAGGCAAATAAATCCCTTCACCCCAGGCCTTGAAGCAACAGGAAAGCTTTTCTGTGGTCAGATCAGGATCTTTTGCAGGTGCCATAAACTGGACAGGATTTGTCACTCACAGATGGTTGGCAGCACCACAAGAGAAGATGAAGGAATTACATAAGAATTTGAATTCATCAGCTCAATACCCTTTTGTGCAAGAAAATGACTTCTAATCATAGAAATCAAACCGAGGTAAGGCTGTAAAGGACCTCAAGAGGTCATGTAGTCCCCCCTCACTCTGCTCTGAGGATCTCTTGAATCCAAAATAATTAGATACATGTTTGTCTTAAAAACCCAAAGAAGCTTTTACACCTTCCTTAAGTAACTTGTGTTTAACTATCCTTGTAGTCATTTTTTTTAATATTTGCCTTAAAACTTTCTTTTCCTTTGCTGCTAATTAACCCCACTATTTCAATAACATATAAATAAATATTCAAAATTAAAAATTACACACACTTACCTGGAGCCCACGAAAGGGAATAAATGACTCCTTCATTACCAGGAGAGGTGTAAACTGCTGTTAAAGTGTTGATATCCCATACTTTTATTGTCCCATCAAAGGACGCTGTGGCTAGAAGGTCAGGATTATCAGGTTTGAATTTGCAGTCAAAGATTGTCTCAACATGTCCCTAGGATAGGGAAATCATGAATACTGGCATATTAATAACAAAGTATTTTTCTTACATGTACTGTTGATTTAATGCCATATTTATGTCTTTACTATAGTTTTCACAATACCTTTATGTGCAAGTTCTCAATGAAGGAGTTTACAAGCAATTACTTGTGGATTTTTACTTAGCTATGTTGCTCAGATTATGCATTAAGATTACAAAATGCCAATAGGTTAGATTAGAGAACGATATAGCCTGTTAAACTGTTAAAACACTTATTTCAAGATTTATTTTAAAAAAAGCTTAACCAATTTTCACCATTTAATTTAGCTTTTAGTATTTATGGCCAAATCAAATTAGTTGCAAAGGTTTAAGACACTGGAAAAAAATGGTAAAAAATAGAATGGTAAAAGCCAACAAACCTTCACTTGAATAGAATACTTTAAAATACAGTGTGTTATGACTTTCTAAACCGATTAAGTGCTCCAACAGAGCCATACAATAAAGCTAATCAGTTAATAATAAGAGATATTTAATAATGGTCTCTGGATCTTTCCTCTCATTCTTTCCAACCTTTTTACAACAGATACATAGTTTATACCAGGGGGGCTCAACCCCCAGCCTGCAGGCCAGAGCTATGCCAACTGGCCCTCAGAGGTCCCCATGGGTCCAGAAACTGGTGGTGGGCAAGTGGTAACATCAATTGCTGCTCCCCTTCTGCCAAATTTCTGGTCCCATAGGGAACCTCTGGGCCTGATAGCATGCTGGATTGGCACATGGAGGGGACCAGGGCCTGATCTGGGCGCACAGGCTGGCTGGAGGCAGTGTGGAGCTTGATCCTGGTGCACAGGGTCTGATACAGCCTCTGGACTGGCCACTGATTCCATCCTACAGCCCCAAAGGTTAAGCACCACTGGTTTATACCATGAGTCAAATTCTCACATAAGCATAATCTCTACCATACAACGGGTAGATTAACTCAGTCATTGTGTATGCAGTTGCATAAATGTAACTTAGGAAAAACTGGTTTTGGAGAGCAGCTATTATTATGACCAAGGTGCTATTATTTATCCTTTCTGAAACACAAAGTTATTTATTTCTATTTCAAAATTTAATTCTTATCTTTCTTCCCCCACCCCCGAAACGTATGTGCTACTTGCCCTGTGGTGAAATAACACCCCATTATGGAAAGCAATCAGGTAAAACTGAAACACGAAAGCTGGCAGGTGTAGCTCTCAATGGCTGACCTCATGCTCCTGTGAAAGTGGACTAAAAATGAAAAAAAGCAAGAAGCAGAGACAGTTCCAAAGCATTATTTTATCTCTCCACATGTTCCCAAGTCTCATATCTTTTCCAGAAACAAGGAAACAGAAAAAGCAACAAGCAGCCTGGAAAAGCAACTAACAAGAGTTCCAATCTTTTATTTACTGGTTTCCAGTTCATATTTCTGCTTCCTTTTGTATAACCATAGATGCAACAATCATACACATAATAAGCTTCCCTACATTTAATCAAATGTTTGTTTAAGCTATACTTCAGATCCTCATTCCTAAATGAAACATTAAAAAGATTAAAAATACATTGTAGTTGGTGAAGTTCTACCAGAATCCAGGGTTTTCCAGATGTGGTAAAGCTAAAGTATGCACACTTAATCTCTCGGAGTCGTAGCTAGCTATTTCTGTGCCCTGGGAAGAGAGAGCTGTTATGTTGAGCCCAGGAGAACAGGAGTGCAGTCTTACCACAGCACAAGCTCACCCAGGGACTGGAGACTTCTGCCCCAGACAGCAGGACTGCAGTCACCCCATCAGCTTCACTCCCCCTCTCCCATAGGTGATGCTGCAACAGCTATCAGATAACTCTCTCACAGCTGCTACTGGCTTGTATGTGGAACATGATTGCAAAAGCCTTAATCGTTAAGATGGCAGTTCAGAGATGGTTAATGCAGGAGCTGTGGTCACATAGTAGAGGGGGATTGAAGCAATTGTCACCACTCCGGCCTTTCCCGGGTTCTATTCTGGGGTCCCCCCCACACAGTCAGCAACAGGGGCTCATGCCCTGGTTGCCCACCCTCAGTTACACTACTGATCAGCTTCCACTAGAATTTACCAGAACGTGTAATTCTCCACTTGTGGTGTTGCATAATCTGGGCTTAATGCAAGGTAATAAAAACACAAGTGTCATGTGTACACTACAGTTTCCATGACTGCGACAATACTAGCAGCTGCATAAACTAAGGATGACATTTCTAAAATTTCTCAGTAGAGATGCTCCATCACCACACTGCACGCAACTGCTCCAAAGATTCTCATACTTGCCTGTGATTATTTAAACATACATCATGCAAGGTGAGGGACAGAGACATGCAGTCATCATGTGGGTTATAACCTGGCTCCCCTGCAGGAGCTGCCTGACCTTTTTTGCTGTCCTCCTGGTCCCAGAGACAAAACAGGACAGTTGCAACACATGGGGCAACACCAGCTATGGCAGTGCTGAGGGCAACAGTGGCTATTTTTGTGCCCTTGCACCCACATACACACATAAACAGATGTGGCACCTAGGTTGATGATCTGGTTGTCGCCTTTCAGTTATGCTACTGTCTGGTCCTCTCCAGGCGCTATGGAAGACCAGAACTTTATGATCACTCTACACATGATACAGTACCAATTTTAATTTTGTATTTTATTTACAATGCATTCATTGGCTCTCATCTTGCTAGTCTTCCTCAGACAAGAGTCACTGAAGTGTGGCTTATGTTTGGATTGCTGGATAAGATCTGAAGTCTGAGAACACAGGAAGGTAGTCTTTTTCCTTCACTCTGATTCTCTCTTTTTTAACTTGAATCCTACATCAAAACGCATTATTTACTTATTTATCATCAGCACAAAAAATGGATTACTGGCTATTTTGGGATGTGGCAGTCATGCTGGCTCTCTCTCATTCCAATCAGAAATTTACAACCTAAAACTAAGAAGCCTCCCCAATAAAACAATTGCTGAAGTGTTTCAATCATAAGAAAAACTGCATTATAGAGGAATAAAAGCTGTCATAAATGCTGAGCAACACCGCAGGGAAGAATTAAGTTCAGCGTTCTACAGCTGTTTAAGGTCTCTAGAACAGAAGTGGGCAAAATACAGCCTGCGGGCCAGATCCAACCCATCAGGTGGTTTCATCTGGCCCACAGGCACCCACCAATTAACTGCACCCCATCCAGTCCGCATGCTTTTCTCCCACCTTTCTGCACAGGAGGGCCCTGGCCCCAGGCCCAGCCCTGGCCAGTACTGACAACTTCCAGGTGGGCTGTTGCTACCACTGCTGCAGCCACTGGGAAACCTGCTTGGCTTCCTTGGCCTCCAGCAACTCCTCCTGTGTCCCTGCTGCAGTGCTTGCTCTGGGCACCAGACAGGGAAGCTGCAGCTAGGTGGGAACATGGACCATGGGGCTGGGGCTGGTGGGAGTGCGGAGCCCGGGGCCTGCGCTGAGCAGGGCAGCAGAAGGGCAGAGCTCAGGTGGGCAGGGTGCATGTGAGGGTATAGATGGGATACATGGGGTGTGAGGGAGGATGGGGTGTGTGGGCCCCCCCCCTGCTTCAGCCCACGATGCACAGCCCCTGCCGCCGCCAATGGCAGCAGCAAGAGGCAGTGGGCCCATGGGTGCTTATGGCCCATGCAGGAGCAGCTGCTTGGTGGTACGCAGCTCCAGCCAGATCTGGGAGCTGCACGTGGCAGGAAGGAGCAGAACCAGGCTGGCCTGCCTCTATTGCACGGGGCTCACGTGAAGCTCCTGGCACTTGCACACCACCAGGGGGAAGCCCCACACAATGGAACCACTGCCTTCCCCGCTCCCTGCCACCTCAATGCAGCTCATGGGACTCCACTGGGAAACAGTGCCACTTCTCGCATAATCCCATGAGCTACATATGGTGGCAGGGAGCAGGGAAGGCAGCTGGGTCCGTCGCATGGGGCTTTCCCCCAGTGGCGTAAAAGTCCCCAGAACTGCACTTGCGTCCCACGCGATAGAAGTGGGCTAGCCTGGCCCCGCTCCTTGCCACCAAGTGCAGCTCCTGGAACTGACTGCAGCTGAACAGGACACTTTGCACCCCAAGGGCCCATCGCCTGCTGCTGCTGCCACTGCTGGTAAGAGCTGTGCACTATGAGGGGGACATATGGGAGTTTCCTCCCATCCCTCCACATACCCCCAAAACCCCACACCCCCTAACCCCCACCACATATACAACTCACCCAAACCACCCCACAGACAGCCACATCCCTCACAAATACTCCCCCACACCCCTCCATCATACATGCACTCTCACCCCCCCAACCACATCCCATGCATTCCCCACACACAATATACAAGAGTAAGACTATTTTGAGTTATTCTGCAATCACCTCTATATAGCCTATGCAAACACGCATAAATCAGGACAATTTTTTTTAAATTAAATGAAAAGACATTATAATAGATGTTTGACTTGTAGTATATGATTTGGTTTTTTTCTGTTTCAAGATGGCAACCCTTCCCAAAAGTAGTATTTCCAGGGGCAAGGCGAGGGACTTCTGGTGGCAAAGGTCAGGGGTTAGGGGGTGGGACTTCTGTTCCCAAGATGGTGACCATGGGGTGGGGCACCTGTCAAGGGGCGAGGTTACTGTTGCAGCCCTTAACAGCTCACCAAAATTCATTAAGCAGCCTTCCAACTGGAATAATTGCCCATCCCTGCTCTAGAACCTCAATCCTTCTTTTAATAGAAGCTATTTTAGCTGTAAGTGTAAGTTACATGTTGAACATTTATTATTGTTGTTAAAAGATATTATATTCATTAATAATTATTATATAATGCAAAATATTACAGAGACTAATGAAACATACCAAATCTCTAAGGAAATCCCATTTCTTGGCTCCCATGTCATAAAGCCCTACTCCACCATCCATGAAACAGCAAACAGCATGGCCAGGAGGAAGAGAAAATGCTTGATTTTGAGTTAGGGTTGGGGGTGGAACAGCTTCACTGGTAGATGATGTATGATGATTTTTAGTAGGAGAATGTGATGAAAGTGCTTTATAAAAGAAAGGAGATAAACATTACCATTGTTTGTATTTTCATATTTGTATAACAAATGGCAGTCACATCATTTGAGATCGCAGCTTGTAATATTCATTTCACCACTAGTTACTGGCCAGTAAAAAGGTTTTCATGAATCATAGAAAATTAGGGTTGGAAGAGACCTCAAGATGTCATCTAGTCCAACCCCCTGCTCAAAGCAGGATGATCCCCAAATAGATCATCCCAGCCAAGGCTTGTCTAGCCAGGTCCTAAACACCTCCAAGGATGGACAGATTACAACCTCTCTATGTAGCCTGTTCCAGTGCTTTACTACTCTCCTAGTGAGAAAGCTTTTCCTAATATCTAACCTAAACTTCTCTTCCTGCAACTTGACACCATTGCTTTTTGCTCCGTCATCTGCTACCAGTAAGAACAGTCTTGCTCCATCCTCTTTGGAACCAACCTTCAGGTAGCTGAAGGCTGCTATTAAAATTCCCCCTCATTCTCTTCTCCAGACTAAATAAGCCCAGTTCCCTCAGCCTCTCCTCAGAAGCCATATGTCCCAGCCACCTAACCATTTTCGTTCCCCTTCACTGAACTCTCTCCGATTTGTACACATCCTTTCTGTAGTGAGGGGCATGAAAGTGGGCACAGTACTCCAGATGTGGTCTCACCAGTGCAGAAGAGAGGAGAAGAATCCCTTCGCTCGATCTACTGGCAATTCTCCTAGTAATCCCACCCAATATGCTGTCAGCCTTCTTCACAAGGGTCCACTGTTGGCTCATCTTCAGTTTACTGTCCACTGTAACCCCCCCAAGTTTTTTTCTGCAGAGCTGCTTTAGCTAGTCAGTCTTTAGCCTGTGCCCGTGCATGGGATTATTCCTTCCTATGTGCAGGACTTTTCACTTGTCCTTATCAAACATCAACAGATTTATTTTGGTTCAACCCTCCAATTCATCTAGGTCTCTCTGAATCCCAGCCCTACTCTCCACTATACCTACTACTCCCCCCAGCTTGGTATCATGTGTAAGCTTGCTGAGGGTGCACTCCTTCCTGTCCTTCTGGTCGCTAATGAGAAGAAAGGGAACTGTGCATATAGGATTTTGTAGTTCTCATAAAACATACTATAACATACCAACACCCAATGATGATTGGTTGAGCCCTTGTTTCTGCTTCCTGCTCCCAATGGTTTTTTAAGCATTTTGCTTTAAATAATCATAGGATAAAATACAGGAACAACAGCAGAAGCAAGGAGCAGACCCCATGACTTTCTCCCATTCTCTTCCAGATAATTTCTGCAGAACTGCAGTCAGGCTCCATCTTGCATGTTCTTCTGACCTCAATTATGTGCATTCCTTTCCACTAAAGGGTTCCATTTTCAATACGAGGAATGGAAAGTGCTCTCAGTCTAGTATAGCCCACAGCTGGGGTATGCTTGGCAAACTGGGAGATGTTGGTCTCCAGATTTGGAGGGAAGTGCCTTAGCCACTAGGTAATTTGAAAAAAGGCAGATGGGCCTTCCTTCCATCCTCCTCTTCCCCGCTTCAATATTTATCAAATAGGATGTACTGGTGAAAGAGGTCTGCCCACTGTGAGAAATTCATCTCATCAGGCAGAATGAAATTACACACCTGAGGTAAGAGGTCTATTTTCTGGGCTAGCAGCAGTAAATCCTTAGACACCTTAAAGCTGGAACAGGTGCTGAGCCCATATTCTTTTAATCTGTACTCATGGCTATGAAACAGTGAGAACAAAACATTTACTTACACTTTTTTTTTGGAGGAGAACTGAGCACATGTAACCCATGGAACCCTGTTTTCTTCAGCTTAAAATTGTCTATAGGTGTTGTACGCGATACATTCCAAATACGTAATACACCGACCTGAGAATCTGAGATGTAAAAAAATAATCTCTCCATTTATTTATTTCTTGATTTACCAATCTCGTCTAAATACAATATTTATATTCTAAGAAACAAAAATGAAAAACATAGCATTGAATCAAATCCATAATGTTAAAATAGCATTACAAATAAGTTTAGTCATCTTCACAATACTGTTACTTTATTAATCAGTGGTTCTAACACTGGCTGATTTATAGCCTGTGGGTAAATCTATGAAGATTGTCACATACTCTCTCACCCTCATACACTCACTATCACTCCAACAATCCTTCAAGCTAGACTCTGACTTCCCCTGGGCTGTATGCTTCTGAAAGGACAGAAAAAAAGAAGAAAAAAAAATGGAGAAAAACCCTAAAAACAGCAGAAGGAAAAATGGCAGCAGCAGGACATGGCATAGAAATTGTATGCTTACTTCTTATCCTCAGCCAACTATAGTCTATGTTGATAAACTCATGCAAACTACTTGTTATTAAGAAAACATTACTGAAACTGAAATCTAAATAGGAGAATTTTTGGTCATTTGTACTCATGAAAAGGAACAATACAAAATAAATTAAACCTGCCTGGAGTGGTTTTCCAGTCCTTTTCTTGGTTTATGTATTTTTTCCTAGAGTACGTTAAAATAATTTCTGTTCCTATGGATATCCAAGTCAAAGATACAGAAAAGATCAAACTTGAAGAATCAATTTTGGAGACTGAATGAGATATTTATAATCATTCAAGAACTGCATATCTTGAAGAATGCTTACCTCCTGTGGACTAAAAGGGGAGCATATAAAAAGTGGAAACGGGGAGAGATTACCAAAGAGGAGTATACCTCCTCTGCTCGCACTAGTAGGGTGGCAGTTAGACGGGCCAAAGCTACCATGGAGCTGAGGATGGCATCCCAAGTTAAAGATAACAGCCTCCCCTGCTTACCTCCAGTTATAAACATTCCAGGTGCACTAGGAACCCAGGCTAAGCACTGAACTGATGCTGCTGCACTAGGGAAATTAAATGTAGTGATACAGGAGAGAGATTCAGAATCTACAAGTCGAATGCCATTATGTAAATTAGCAACAAGAAGGTAGTCGGTCGACAGAGGGTCCCATTCCAAGGCTGTAACTGGGTCCTCTTCATCTGTCCCTTCAAGAGACTCTGGTCTTAGGACATGTTTCTGACTCTTAGAACCTTTAAACCACAAGAAAAACAGATTGCTTAAGTTATTAATGATCCCATCAGCTTCATACATGTTTCATTTCTTCCTGTTTAGGTGGGCAAACAGAGAGCTATACATTTTCCTGACATACTCTGTAGCCTGTTCCACAGACAACACTACTTGAGCCAGCAAAATTTATCTACTGTACTCATCAAAAAGTGGTTTTGAATCCAACAGGTATTTCACATAAACACACACACACACACATATACATACTACATATTTTTATGATATATTTTTATTATATATTTATATTATTATATCTTTTTGTTATTTATTATTTATATATTTTTATTTTTATATATTGTATTATTTATAT